TCGTACCTGGAAAAAAAAAGGACTTCAAATAGTCTTCCCAAATGTCTTCTTAGACACTATTTCACTAACAAAGATTTAAAAAAATTCAAGTACATTTGAAAGTTATCTTCCTACAATGGCTACATTGTTTTACTTTAAAATAAAGAGCTAGAATTTGAGTCTGTTGACAAGCATTCAAAAATTCTCTCTTTTTTAAACTGCCACCACTTTCAAGGCTCACATGTGTTAGATGTGAAATACCCACCCCAGAGTCATTTAGAAACATCCTGGGATTCTTGTAACAGAACTATTAGATCTTAACTTCAGGAAACCGTAATGGCAGGGACCAAAGACTCAGAGGTGCTCCTTCTACTGGTTCCAATACCTCTCAAGAAAAGTGATAACAGAGCACCATAAAACCCTACTAGGTAGACCAAATAGCAATGGTGTAGCTTTTAGAATTAAGCAGATATATATTCTAGCCTAAAAGTAAAATTGTCACTCAAATATCTGTTTTATTTACATATCAATTTTACTGAAGTCCATATGGAATTAAGTCTTGTTTCCCCTCCACTCCTAATGAAAAAGCGCAAGAAGTCTTATATCTTTTATAAGGAAAATGACTCTTCCTGTCTGCTGAAAATGAACACGCAGAGTATTAATTAAGGAATAGGGAAGAGGCTCCTAGAACATGACGAGCAGAAACACTCTCCCTTTTTATTTTTCTTCTTCAGAGGAGTCATATTTTGAGACTGCACGGATCTGATGCTGCTGACCAACACTGACTTCATGCATGAATTCATGCAAGGGGCTGTGCTGCTCAGCAGTCAAAGGACAGCAAAGTCTTTAGGCTTGCTTTGAACCTCAACATCATTTATTACAGATCATGTGTCTGAGTACTTACTGCCAGCAAATAAGCACTGACCTTGAGCTGTATTTCTTTAAGATGGATTCCAAAATGTTTACCAGTTCCTCAGAGTTAATGAACTTTTGGGTGCTGAGCGTGTACATTTTTTCATAGAAGTCTGCAATTTCCATACGAGCCTGAACAAAAAAACAGAGCTGTTCAGACAGGTGAGAAAGCAGCTCTTCCAAGTGAGGAGCTGTTCCTCCTAGTGCATTGCGACCCGTCGCCACCACCTTCTTCAGCTCATTATGCAGAGATGTGTAGATGGTTCGGATGGAGTCCTTTCGGCTGAAGAATGACTGACCACCTGTTCAGATAAATATGGAGGTATTACCAAAATCCAGGGACAGCAAAGATAGACAGCAATACTGGAAAATTGTATATAACCATGCTTGTTTTCTCCTCGGTGTTCCTAAGTGTTGTTTGATCACAGTATTTTTTTTTTTTTTTTTAAATCAAGAAACAAATTTCAGTGTATTATTTTGCAAGTAACTGAATTACACATAGCATGTACTCAGAAACACTTAATATAATTTCATGCAAGTTACACTTGTCCCAATTCATATCTCAGCAGCCAATGACTGCTGCAAAACTTCAACTCCCTCACATCTGCCTCAGTTATGGCGTGACTGTCCTCGTTTTGGCTGGGATAGAGTTAATTTTCTTCCTAGCAGCTGGCATAGTGCTGTGTTTTGGATTTAGGATGAGAATAATGTTGATAACACGCTGATGTTTTAGTTGCTGCTAAGTAGTGCTTACACTAGTCAAGGACTTTTCAGCTTCTCATGCCCTGCCAGCGAGAAGCTGGGAGGGGGCACAGCCAGGACAGCTGACCCAAACCGGCCAGAGGGATATTCCATACCACGTGACGTCATGCTCAGTATAGAAAATGTGGGGAGTTGGCTGGGGTGGAGGGGG